TCCTTCAAACCCACAACTTCTGAGGTGGCGGGAGAAGTGGGATGGATGGAGAGGACAGGAGTATCCAGCAATCAGCTAAGAGCTAAGACCCGCCAGGACTTTCTTTGAGAAAAGAACGGATTGGCATCCAATAAACATTTCCCACATTTCTTCTGACTCAGCAGCTGATATCCTAAAGCTGTGTTTCACGTTCATGCAGTCCCAAGGCACTGAGTGTTTCCCATGTGGTAGATGCACAAACTTATTTAATACAGAAATCCCAGAAACCTGTTTTTAATTATTCCAATTTATTGTAAAGGAAACTTGATCTATCTGTTTTTCAGCATGGTTCTCCTTTAAAACCAGTTTTCCATCTGATCTCTGACAAGAGGGAAATTACCAAGAGACTGGTTGAAGAGCTCGCCAGCCTTGTATTCTGTTGATTTCCACTCACTGGATAGTGTTTTGCGTCATGTCAGGGACCTCGCCTGTGAGCCTCTGCCTCCTGCTGCAGCTACAAGCGCCACTTACCTCCACCTGCCAGGCTCAAGTTAATACTGTAGCGGGTTAGTTCCTGCCCTAAACCGATCTGTTTAAATCTTACTGGCTGAGAAAGGAAGGTTTCGGTCCTTCTCAGGGCTGATGACCCATTCGGCCTCCCACACAGCACCTGCCGTCTCACTGTCTCTTTCCCAGGACCGTTTCTCCCGAGCGTAGCTACCCTTTCTCGTCAGACCTCGTTGCATTCCATTTGACCAAACCTTGTTTTGTAGCCCCCTCAAGACTGTTGCTGGGGTTGTGACCTTAGCCCCATGCCCCAGGCCCTTTGGGGACTGATCTATATCCCTTTGGACCTCTTAATCCAGCCCTAAAGTGAAAATGCCTTGGTAAACCTAACTGCAATGCGATGACAGTGAGCGTCTTTGTCGGACAGCACAATTTGTTGAATCAGTATTTCACATTGTTACTGTTCTTAGCCATTTAAAATAAAATTATATTTTCTCATTTATCAGCCATTATACAAACCTAAATTTTACCAAAATACAATTTTGGGGGCAGTGTGTTTGGGATTTTTTTTTTCACTCTAGAATTCTATAGTTTATATGTGTGAACACATTTTAATCTAATGTTTTTTACATAACCTTCCAAAATGTGTTTCTTCACACATTCAGCAATCTTCACAAGACTGTATTAGTAGAAATTTTATTCATGTTTCAGGATATTATTATTATTTAGTTTCTTTTCTGATTCTTTTGAGTAATTGGAAATGAGCTTCTTCATAGTGTTTTTATTGTTAGTGTTAGTGATCTCAAAAGAAAATGCTGGATCTCTGTATCTTGATGAACTGTAAGCTCTCTCTCACATACGTCCTTTCTTCTGTGCTTCTCTGCC